AGCAATTTGAGTTTTCTTAAATATATATTTATTTAAAATTTTACAAAGATAACTTCGATTTCAGGATCACCTATTTGCCACATCTCTTTCCAAGAAAAAAAGTACCAACTCCCATTTTATACACTAAATTAACCACACTTGATTCTGAGAAATTGTTAATTTAGTATTGTGTTCATGATGTAACAAAATTTCTAATTCTGTGTAAATGAATGTGTAATGCATTAATTTTGACAACAAAACCTCATAATCTAAAACAATTTAAAAAGGAATAAAACAAGTTTAATTCTAAATAATTAATTTATTACCCTTATAATATGTACGATAATCCAAAACTCAATCAGTGAGTTTGAACGCATTTAATTATAACTCTTAAAATTGCCGCTTTCAGAATTAATTAAAATTTTCAAATTTTGTAAAAAAAATCAAAAGGGATATTAGCCTCCTTTATAGGCAATGTGATCTATTAAATGACAACATCCCACTAGAACAGAGGGCAAGGAGAAGATTAAGAAGGAAAAAGGACAAGAAGATTCCGAGAGAAGAGCAAAATTGTCAGTGAAACAAGAAAACCAAAGCATCAGAGAGTCGCTTTTGTAAGAGGTTTTTCATTGAGTCACATCTGCAAAAGTGAGACCTCCTTCTCTTTAATTATTCTGAAAAGACATAATATTATCTTTTTTAGCAACACTACGGACAGTCACAGACCAAAGCTGTGACCGGCTTCCATCTGATTACCAGGAGCGATAGAATGCAACTTGTTGATCCCCCATCCGATCCCTAATATCTCTCACAACACAATCAACCCACCTTGGGAAGGGGGGGGGGGAATTCTTTTTTTTTGTTCGATTTTTTAAAATGTCACTAATTTAGTCGGATTTGAATTATATCTAAAAAGGTGTCCTAGCCATCTAATACAGCCAGCCTTTACAACTGACAGTATCTGTGGTTCTTTAAATCTGCTGTAAATTTTAAAATCTTATTCTGTGGACATTGTTTTGCTTAACTGCACCAAAGAACTTTTCAGAGCATTTTTCTAGCAAAAGCAACAGCTTATCTTCTTTAGATTTTGTTTATGTCCAGCACTCACTACCAATTGGTGTAATTAAGGTTTTGTATAAGTTGAGTTTAGGTTTGAAATTAATAAATTTGGAATTAAATTGGCTTCTCAACCCATAGAAATATTTGTTTACCACATAAGTGCCTGTTATTTACTTCAAGCTTTATGTCATTAGTATTACTAACAAAAGTTCCAAAGTACTTAAACTTCTGTACACACTCAAAAGCAAAATTATTAATTTTTATAGGGGACAAGTTATAGTATTTCTATGTTACATTCAAAAATTTAGTTTTCTCTTGGTTAATAGTGAAATCCATTCTTCTTGCAGACCCTTCCAAGGAAGACTAAAGCATTGATAACTGCTTTTGATTAATCTATTACATCAATATCATCTGCGAAGGCTAATAATCGTGTAGTTCTATTAAAAATAGTATGATGTTTATATTAGAATCCCTTAACAGCTTTTTCAAGTTCTATATTGAACAATATACAAGCAAGAAAATCTCCCTATCAAGCCTTGTTCAGTGTAAAAGACCTCCGAGAAGTCCGATTTGATCTTTATTCTTGTTCATTTTTTAAAAATCATCTTGGTGAGATTCATCGATTTTATATGGAAATTAAATTCTCTCATAGTTTCCAATAAATTAGCTCCATTTAAATGTCATGTGCAACTTTGTGTGTGTGTGAAGTTGATAGATTTTTCTATAATTGCTATATTCTAATTTATCAACTTTTCTTGAGATTGGGCCAGTCAATCTCCCCTCCTGTTTGATGGATCTGATGTTCAGATCCAGCTTATAATGCAAATAGTTGTTAAAATAATACTGGTTAATTAATATTAAATAATTCAGACTTGATAACATCAGATCCGGCTGATCTATGGTGATGTAGTTTATGAACAGCTAGTTCAATTTGGTACAAGGAAGTCACATTACATTACTTGGTTATAACTCAGACCAATTTTACGGAATAAGTGGATATTCCCTTTTATAAAAAGATCAACCAGCAGCATAGTTAAGTTTATGCCTATCGAGGAAAAATGCTTTATAATATTAATTTTAATAAAATCTTACCCAAAATAGCTTTGATCCATTCAGAAAACTAGTTAAAGTAGAATAAAGTGTAGCGGCAAATATTATAGATGAAAAAACTAATGATTAGATAATAATTAGCTTTCCATAGCTAATGATTTATTCTTGAATCTGAGGGAGAAAATGTAGTTTGATATCGGATACTCTATAAATGCCAGGGGGGGGGGAGGGACTCTTCTTTTCAATTTTCACTTAAAAAGCATTAGTAAAAAACTTACACATAAAACTTTAAAAAATCACTCTCAATTTATGTAGTGCTTCTTTTTCTCTAAAAAGTTTAACTTTCTTAGACATCTTCGACTTTATCTACAGCTCTGATTTTCTTCCTTTTGCTGGCTTATTTCTTATGAGATTCCAGCAATTGTCTAAATTCTATTCCTCTGAAAATAAAAATATCCATGAATATCAATATAGAACTTATGGAAAAACATATGCCACAATTAGCATATGTAACTAAACAAAATAATATTACAGGCTCCAAATTTCATAATATTTTGAATTTTCCAATGCAAATAATTAAAATTTCACGAGAACAATATTCTGGTACCTGCTGTCTATTCGGTACTTTATAATAAATTTGAGACTAAAATAACTTTTTTGGTTGGGATATTTCATTTGCTTTATTCCTTTCAAAAGAGAGCACCAAATTTCATTTTCTAAGCAAACTCTGAGCTGGGGGTGGGCAACCGGTGATTAGCAAAACTAGTCAAGAAATACGCTTTAAACCAAAATCTCGTTCCTGTGCACAATCAAAGATTCCTCGTTTATTCTTCAATGTTAAAAAAACAAAAGTATGTGAAAATGTTTCAACTAAGAGAGCATATGTAGGAAAAGGTCTTTTTTTCAGGATTTTAAAAAAAAATAGTGGAAAATTTCAGGATTTGATGAAAATTTTGCCTAAATTCAATTTTCTGTGTTATCCCACTTCTGCTGATATTGATACAACACATAAGGAGTAAGAGTTTAAACTTAATTATTCTAATTCAGATCACAGTGTGAAGAAAATGCTTAATGCTATAACACTGACTTACAAATCTTACTCAGCTGAAAAATTTGTATGTATGAAGAAATTTACAGAGAAATTATTCTTTATAGGATGCTAAATTGTTATCAGAGTACTACGTGCCAAGTTGTTTATTTTCGCCAAGATGGCCAATAACATTACAACATGATTACCTTAATTTTGTTATTGTGTGGTAATATGGTTGCCATGCGGATGACATATACTATAGTTAATTTGTTGTTTTTATCCTGCAGTAATCCTACTATTTTTAGATGATTTTAATTTGATTTCTTTAAAAATTTAACCATTTTCACTGCAATTATTTTTCAAGCTAGTGCTTCAGTCTTCTGATGTATTTTGTGCAAATGTATATTTCAAATATGGATATTTCTAATATCATTGTTGAGTAAAGGGATATTTTTTTAACAAGAATATGATTCCTGTGCTTTTATTTATCATTGCAAAAAGCACATTTCCAATTCATTTTACTTTTAAATAATGCAATTTTAAACATTCCTTGTTTGAATGAAATTCAATAAAGGAGCTTGCAGTTTTTGGAACATTGGAGAAGTTTGTAGCAATTATTAATTGAAAGATAATTATTACAGATTTTTTTAAATATGTTTTTGAAATTAAAAGGGGGGGGGGGAATATTATACATGATAGTTATTATTTTGATATTAATTATTGATTGATTTTGATTATTTACAATCTATTCCTAAATTTTTTATTTAAAAATACATTTAAAAAGTTTTTTAAAATATTTTTCTGATGATTTGTTACAGCCAAGCCACCATCTTGGATTCCTTATTACTCAACAAGTGCTACTTGGTGAGATTCCTAAATCAGGCAAAACAGCACTTGGCGCTTAGCACTCATATATCATATTAGTTCCCTTTGTATTTTTGAGCAAAATTTGTCTTACGTGAAGATAAACCGGACTAAATAAAAATGCAATTTGGCTGCGATGAAAATTTAAAGAAGGAATCTCATCGTTGAATTTTTAAAAAAATTGTAGAAGAGTTAGATAGAATCAGTTTAATGAGACAAATATACCCCAAAATTAAATGTGCCAACAGATATAGACAATATATCAGGATAATAAATAAATTGAATAAAATTGCTACTATTTTATTTAATATAGTAATTTTTTTAAAAAATGATTGCAATAATTTTTTGAATGTGCAACCCTCTGATATTTTCTGCACATTTCATATGGTCCGCAAGCCTAGACAAGTTACCCACCCCTGCTCTAATCCCTTTCACATTACACAACAACATAAGAAATGAATAAATGCAGTTGAAAAATAGATCTTATTTTGAAACTTAAAAAAAAGAAGATGTATGGAAATTCATAAAAAATATAAATTATAAAAATTGAGATTTTATGAGGATATTAGGATTATCACATTTACTTTTTAATCAAAATCAAGGAATACAATAAAACAGTAACATGATGAAATCTCTAAACTGATTTATGAGTTAAAATATCTGCTATACTCCTTCCCCAGTTATATAAAGTTAGCTGCATGGCTCAGCGCTGCACAGGCTTTCTCTACTTTTGTAAATTTTTCCTTCCCTTCACAAAATCAGCACTTCCAATATTTTTTTTGAATTTCTACTATATTAGCTCATTTTCTCCATATATATATAATGTTCAAATTTTCAATCGTTAATAAAATACTTTCTTTTATCCATTCAAGTTCAAATACATTTTTTAACTTGTATTGGATGACACTTGATGTTAATAGTTTTTTCAAATATTAATTCATTAATTAAATTTAAAAAATAATTAGTAACAAACAAAAATAGACCAACAGCATATATAGATTAGAACATCGACTGTTGTGACCTTGTAGTACAATGGATAGTGCATTGAACTTCTAATCCAAAGGTTGTGGGTTCAAATCCCACCGTGGATGGCCTAATTTCTGAGAATGTGATATTTTTCATTATACTATTTTATTGGAATAATTAAATTTAATTAATGAATAAATAGCAAAAAACAAAGAAAATTAGTCCAACACCATATATAGAAAGGAAAATTCCTTTCTATTTTGTCACTTAATATTGTGATTCTGTAATAAGTACATATGTTACCATTAAAGTGTATAATTCAGTTATTTCATGAAATAACTAGACAAGTCAGTTTAAGTATATAATAGGTGAAAAATAACTACGTATTCTATGAAATAACTAAGTATAGACTTTTAAAGTGAAAATAAACAATTTCAGATATTTTATAAATTAATTTATCAGTATAGCTAAAATCTCCCGAAAAATACATTTTCTCCTTTGTAGATGAATAATTGATAAGTAATAAGGGAAAGCAGATAATATAATTTATTATTTTTCATACTGCTAACATTAGTTAATCTGAAATGGGAAAAAAGAATCTACACCAAAAATTGATTATATTTAAATATTATCAACAAAAATGCATGCTGGGAAGAAAAACTGCTGCTTCATAAAAACATTGTGTAAACTTTTTAAAACAAAACTGTAAGAGAATATTAATTTAAATTTTGTGAGATTTTACTTTTTGTTACTTATTTGAGGAAAGATTGCTGTGGTGACACTTTGGATTGAACTGCTTATTAATTTTGAAACAAGCCCTGTTTTTTACCATTACACCTTTTTTTTCACAGGAGCACTTTTTAAATCCTTGTTCAGTTCCACACCTTTGAGCTGTTACAACAGATAAAAGCATTGTGTTGATATTTGAAACTTCTTCAATGAAAATTAATTCTCGCTGACATATACTGAAATGATATCTAGAGTACCATTGTTTTATTCGGCCATCTCTAGTTCCTAGTCTAAAAAAACCCTTCCTAAAGCAGCTAGAAACGGTTCAAAGAACTTTCAAGTTCTGTATTACACACTTTAATGATAAAGTAATTGTTATTCTATAGAATACTTAGTTAAATCGTAAAATTCAATAATTTTATATACTTTAACTGAATTGCCTAGATATTTCATGAAATACCTAGTTATTCTATGAAATAGTGGATTTCACAATCGAACTTGTGCCTTTATTGGTAACATATACATATTTAAATTAACTTTAACTATTTAATTAAAAAAATAAGATAAAAATTTTTCTTTGTTCACCTAAATAGGAATCGACTTAAAAAATTCTTTTAAAATACTTGTTTTAAGAGAATTAAAGATTATCAGTTTTATACTTTTTCGAAGATAATATGCAGCTATTTCATCAAAAAACTGATTAATTGTATTGATTTCAATATTTTTCACTTGGTCCTTTTTATTGTTAAATATTTACAATTCTGATGGAAGTCGTTAAATAGAGAGAACTTTTTTACGTGAGTAAAGGGGAAGGAAGGAGGGGGATGACATGAGTAAAGGGGAAGGAAAGAGGGGGATGACATTCTGCAGGGTTACAGAGTAAAGCAATTTTCTCGCCAATATCGGCGCTTGCTTTGAATACGATGCCAAACATTTCATTCTCTCCGTTGACGTAGACGTATTCGCACGGTGTAAGCTGGCTTCTTGTGGAAAGTATATTGGATAGATATAAAACTATCTATTATAACCATCTTTTTCGAAATTGCAAGTTTAGATACATGCTACAAATTTTTTTAAATTATTGATTTGTTCAATATTTTTTAAATAAAAAGTTGAATTATGTAATTGTATGGTAAGTAATACGATTACGAGCAGAAAGCGCTCACATTCTTGTTTATGACTGTTTTTTGAAAAAAGCTCCGGGTTTTTAACAAATTTAAATAATACGATTGATTACTCATGACCTGAAATTCCAAAAGGTTATGAATAAGTATTTCAAATAAAACCAAGAAGTGATTTAGAGGCGATCTTTCAAAAATGTAATTACTGTAAGTCGAAAGGGTAAGTAATTTGATACAGAATAAAAAGCGTTTATTAAAGTGATTTGTGTGTGAAATGCTTGTTTTCATATTAAATTTTCTGCACTACGGAATACAATGTTTAATTAATTTTATACACATTGTGCTAATAAATATTCATTGATTATATTTTTATTAAATCGATTATTTGTTTCGCTCATTCTGTGGATCATCAAATTAAAGTTTAATCGTAAATACTTGTTTTATTAACACACCAATTCACTCTGACAATGAATCCAGTTTCTCTGGTATTTTTAATACAATCCGAAAATTTTTAAAAGCTTAGTAAAAAAAAAAAAATTGACTAAATATTCTGTGTAAAAATAAAAGAGCAAAATTAACTAGTAACAATATTTTTTCTCACACTTGAAAGCTAAATCAGATTATAAAATAACTCATTTTCAAACAAAAATTAGTATATCCTACCATAGTATAATCATATCTATACATATAATGTATAAACTCGACCCAATTCGTTTCCATATTTATGCCGAATGAAAAGAGGATTTCATTACATATTACTGCTAAATGCATATTTGAGTAAGCGATTCATTTTTTTTTTTTTTTACCAAATGAAATTGGATTTTGAACTAGTCAACAATTTAATTACATACTGTCTGTGACAAAGTTTTTAATTAGATGGAATAAAAATCCTAAATGTTACAAGCTATGTCTAATTTGCAATAAGTTTTCTTATAAAAAGAAAGATAAAAATTTAAAATGTAAGAATTCTCGTTTGATAAGAAACCATGCGATACTATCTTATGGTTTCCTTTACTAAAATAACTATATTGAATGCCGAATTAAAAATAAATTCCCTTATTTAAATGCGTACAAAATGAGCGAAAAGGTTGATTGAAATATTTTTTACCTTATCAACAGTAGAAACTACAATTTCACACAGTTATTTCGTGACAATAAATTATTTTAAATAATATGAAAAAATTAAGTCGATTCCTACTTTGAATGGATGAATAGGAAGTATTTTATTAACGGGAGTTGAAAATTTTAAGTTAATATATATAAATAAATATGTATATACATAGGGAGAGAGTGAACTAATAGTAGTAATAAAAGGGATGCATTTCTCTATGTTAAAAATCATACGGCCAATTATTAAAAGCTTTTATTTAACTTACAATGTATGTATGTATGTATGTAATTTGTTCGGGTGGAATCTTGCAACTCACTTTTGAAGCTGATATGTTCCTCCCATTGAGCTGAAATTTTGTATACACGTTTAGTTTGGATGACAATGCATGTTTTGACCATTTATATTCCGATATTGCAATTAATTAAAAAGATATTAATTAAAAATATTATGAAGTTTTGGGCGCCAACTTGGATATATCTGCATTGTTGTAATAATTTTATTGTTACAACAATAACAAAAGTTGGCGTCGAAAATCGGTTTTCAGCCAAACTGGAATTTCATAACGTTGCGCTATTGACAGTATTAATTAACTTTGTCTAAAAAATAATTACATTTCTACAACTTAAAAATAATCTAATTTCTACAACGTATGCAATTTTTTTACAAATTTCTATCTATTTTCTTGGATTTAAATTCAAAACAAAAAAGTAGAGCTATTTTTCAAGTAGATTGGTACATTGTATACCTTTCTCAACGCTGCCAAGTTAAACTGAGATGGAGTATTGAAGAAATTCTTTAAATAATTTATCTAACTTTAATCTATGAAACTCAGACAAAAAATAATTACAGAATCGGAAAGATCATTTTTTTATGTATCTTACCCATCAAAAATGAATCCGCTAGGAAAACAACAAGAGAAAAATATTATCTAGAAATGCAATATATTTTCGATTAAAAAATAGTTTTATAATAAAATGAAGGAATTTTTTAAAGAAATTTTCTAATTTTAAGCCTACAAGTAATTTAAATATACCTCATTTTATCACCAGTAATCTAAACACACACTACGACATGGGCCCTTAAATTTAATTACAAATATAATCTGTTAATTTTATTTGAATTTAATTATTGACTTTTTCAAAATCAAGTTTCTAAAGATGACCTGAGCAATTAAAAAAATAGATTCTTACGTAGAAGATATTCAATGTCCAGCAAAAAATTATCATTATTTGATAAAACTTTCTTTTTTGATTACAACATGCGTTTTGAGTCTTAAGCATTTTATTGATTAATACAAATATTTAAATGCCTTTTGAAGTTTTTTAATAAATAACTAAAATTTTTTTCTAATATGTTAGAGAAATCCCTTATCTTCAAAATATTTCAAATAAATAATATATTCTTTGAGTTTTTCAAAAATAGTCAAAATTTTAATTAAACATTTAATAACTTTGTCATTTATGAAGATAATCTCACTAAACCTTTTTTTTCGTATGTAGAACAATGTTACCCAAAATCTGCACGAAGATTGAAAAAATTGCTTAAAAATTACGGATTTAAAAAAAATGTGTTTTTAGTCTAATACCTCCTTTTGCGAGAATTAATTCAGCTAAACCAGGGATTGCGAATCAGCGTTCAATGAGTTGAACAGGCTGAGAAACCTGTCCAGCGATAACTAAAAAGTAAAAAATAAATTAAAAGTAAAAAAACTTTTTTAAGAACAAGCTTTTATTTAAACGCGCTAAAAAGAATAAAAAAAATAAACTTTTCCTTTAAAAATTTTTTTACTATCAACTTATAACGTCATTACACAATTTATATGATATAAAAGCTTGTCGCGAGATTTACCTGTGTAGATAAACAAGTAAAATAAATAACTTGACCTGATTGATTTTAGTTTTTAAAAATTCAAACTAAGTAAATAAGAGTACTTAAATATTGCGACAAGCTTTTATATCATATAAATTGTGTAATGACGTTATAAGTTGATAGTAAAAAAAGTTTTAAAGGAAAAGTTTATTTTATTCTTTTTAGCGCGTTTAAATAAAAGCTTGTTCTTAAAAAAGTTTTTTTACTTTTAATTTATTTACAAATTACTAAGAGCATTTCTAAATTTATTTTTATTTAAGTCTTTAAAAATACAAAGCATATGTTTTTTTAAAAAAAGT